CCCTCAGCCAAGTGGGTTAAAACAGATTTTGACTAAAACACTCCTTAATCCTTTCGGTATACTTAATTCAGTCTACTTAAATAAAAGCAGTTAGAAAATGGAAGGATCAGTGGTTCATTAAAAATAAATCCATTTCAGATAACCATCAGTTACCATGAATTAAAAAGGTAATCATGTTTGTTGTAAACAGACATATACTGAAATTATATAATGCAGATGGTATAATGCCAGTTGATAGCTTCTTTCAAGGAGAAAATGATGTGAAATAAAACAAATTAAAATCAGTAAATGGGCTAAAGTAAATAGACTGCTACAGTATGTCATAATGCCCCAGAGTATGGTTATTTCTCCTTACGACAGTTAAATTCTTCCAGGAAGTGGGCAAGAAAAATACAATTTATGAAAAGGATTTGTCTGTTTTTCCTAGGAGGCAAGTATTGCAAGTATCATTGTTAAATTGGTACCTACAGAATTTGCAAAGACAGTACACTTTCATCTGAAATTGCACGTGAAGTCAGATTATGCATTGCACGGCCCCAAGACCAAATACGTTTTGTATGTTTTCTTAAAACTGAAGAAATTATCTGTAATACAGATTAATTAATAAACCCTGCAAGTGAACTAGAGCTGCCTATGATTTACTTAATGTAGAAAATGGAACCTTGAAATGAATGACTGTGGAATTGTACTGTAGTTGTAAAAGTATATGTAATTTTAACTACAGTATCTCAGACCGCCCTCCCCTGAAAGTCTTCTGCGTCCAACACTAAAATGGTGCAGTTCCTTTCCCTTTGAGAGTAGGACATTCTTTTGAGCCTGGTAACGTAGCTGTCTTTTCTTTTCTGGATTGATTCTGGAATAGCACTATCTGTTTTGTAATGTGATGGGCAAAATATGCACAATATTCTAAATACAATATTGCTAGCCCATTGAACATAGCATATCCTTGATATAACGTGTGCACATTTAAGTTCATATCTTAACTTGTTTTGCCAATCACATTGCTTAGCCATCTTGTTTAGAAGATGAATATGATGTGTCCGCATAAAAAAACCAAAGCCGCCATCTGTCTTTTTTCTATTATTTCTATCCATTTACCAATCCTTATGCATTATACTGCGTGTCCACTGCCTGCAATTTAAGAATGAATCTTTCATGAGGAATTTACCAAAAGCTTTCTTGCAATCTAAATATACCATCCCATATGCTATGTTACTGCTGTTACTTGTTCAAAGAACTTTAACATGCAAGTCCTACAGTACCTTTTCTAAAACCATGTTGTCTTTCATCCAAGCCCTGAACTACATTCCTTAGTTTAGTAATTACTGTGTCCATATTCTTATATGTGACAAAAACATATAATTATTTGGTTTAGTTCTGTCACTCATTTTTTAGATGGGCGCTACATTAGCAATTTTCCAGTCAGTGGGTATTATCTTCTATTCTGGTATTCTGGTCATTGGAAGTGTTTTGTTAACTGTTGTAGAATAGGCCCTGGGAAACTTACAGGAAGTCCAGCAACACTTCTGCCTCTTCTATGTTAATTCTTTCTCTTTACTCAGTATGAGGCATATTGTTGATTTATTCCCTGGTAAGCACAATAATATGGAAATAAAACCTACACACATTGAATTTAATGTGCTTTGCATTATTTTTCCTACAATGCTCTTTACCTATTCTTGCATTTTGCAGTGCTCAGTTTCTTTAACTGGATGTTGTTCTATTTTAATCATGTTAAAATGCATTTTTTTCTCTTTAATTGAACTGATTTATTAAACAAGTGGCCTCTGTTGTACATTGCATGAAGAATATGGAATTCAACGTAAAAATTCCTCACGCTTACATTTCAAGGTACTAGCAAAATAAGTAGAGCACAGATTATGTTGTTCCAGAAATTAGAAAATGAGAAGACCAAAATCTAACAATATACATTAAATTCTTAATGCACATTACATCCTTATGCCCCAGCATTAAAGTTGAGTTGTTGCTACCATGCACTACAGTATGTCACCAGTGGATCAAGTTGTGATCACAGATATTAAATGCTTGAACAAGGTGTGGGAAAAAAAATCTACCCTGAAGCAGAGAATGACTTTGTTGGTTTCAATGATACCACAATTCGAAAGGAGCTAGAGATGCTATTTCTATTTATTGTTTTTTATGGGTTACAGATACAGTACATCAAAGTAACTGTATATTGTTGGAAATGTACAGTATCTCTATTTGAGATACTGTATGTTTCTAAACTGTATGTTGGAAATGTACAGTATCTCTATTTGAATTCGTTAAGGATATAAATTCTCCTTTATAAGTCATTCCATTATACAGTAAGTTGCACTATTTAGAAGCATGACCTGGGGACATGGTGAAACAGTAATTAGCCTTGCAGCCTCACACTGATGGAGCCCTGGGTTCAGTTCTAGACCTGGGGTGCTATCTATGTGGAGTTTGTATGTTCTCCATGTGCTCGTGTGGTTTTCCCCCCACAGTCCAAAGACATACTTGTAGATTAATTGGCGTTAGTGTGTGTGTCTGTGTCAGTGTCTATGTGTCTACGATGATCTCAAGTGCCATCCAGTGTACAGTATATTCTGCCTTGTGCCTGTTGCTTGTCAGGATAGATTCTAGCTCCCCTGCGACCCTGTATTGGATAAAGTGTTAAGAAAATTGTGGATGGATAACCTTGAATTATAACAGGACTCATGGTATTTGGTTAGCTAAAAGTAAAACACAAACAAAGTCTAATTTATGGTCTGACTCTATTCCTTTAATTATTATGGGAAAAGCTTCCCAGATTAAGTTTATATTGTTCTTATATGTTCTTATTCGTCTTTACTTGCAACACTCTAGTTCCTAACCCCAACATATATCGGGGTACTCTTGGATTACTTGGATCTATTTTGTGCTTCCGGCATGAAGCCTCTCTGATCGATTGCCATCTACTTTCTGATGATTTCACATCTGTCTTTTCCCATTCCAGTTAATAATGTCTTTCATTGCCTAATATTATAAATCATGGTTATTGGACTAACTGTATACTGAATATACTATATTAAGATCATTAGTAATTCTCTCACTTCTGTTTTCCTCACTGTTTAAAAGGGTAAGCACAGGTGTTCTGACCTGTGCTGACAATAGCAAGAAAGCAATTGTTAGCTTTGTCTCATATTTCAGTTTCAGATCTTTCAGAACCATGTTAGGTTTTTCCTAACTAAAGACTAGCTCACTAGGGAAATTTTAAGTATCCCACAATATCCCCCTGGTTCTTAAATCTTGGTAAATAAAAGAAATTCATTGATGCTATAGAAAACAAATTACAAATTTCGAATTTAGCATAAAATAAGGAACAATTTAAAAGTACTGTAAGTTGTCGTGTTGATGCAAGTGATGAAGTTGAAGTTCCTTTTATCACCAAAACCACCTTGAAAAATAGATGTATTCACAAGCCTGTTTGTTTACAATGTAATACCGCTGCATCACATCACTGGAAGTTTTGTTGCCTCATTCTGAATCACAGAACATTGTGCACATACCTGGAAATTTAATCTATTTTGCGTTGTAAATTGGAATTGGAGGTTTTACAAGTTACTGTGTGCATTTTATTTTCATTGTGGTTATAACAGCACTTATCAATGCTGATTCTTTCTAACCCTGAAATACAAAATTAGTATTGCATTTCCCCTTTAAATGCTTTGTATCCACTAATGGTGCGTTGCCTCCATCACTCTCTTGTCAGCCATGATTTAGTTATTTGGCAGTTACAACTTTTTGCATATCAGTCAGTGCAGTATGTTTATTTAGTGACCTGTTCTTTGATGTTTTTTTTCCTTGCATCTCTTTTTGACTCCACTCAATGTGTGCCTTCTTTGCCTTTTAATTTCTGTGTTTTGGAATTTCTCTGTAGATCTATATCCCACACCAGCTGCTGGCTGTGTCATTCAAATGATCCACCATATAGCTGTAGGCAGGCTTTACTGTAGAGCAGATGCTCTTTGGCATTGAGTATAAATTGTGTTCAATGTCACAGTTGTGGAAACAAAAAGTAATTGAATTAGTTAATTTCAGAATTTTCACAAACAAAAGGCTACATTGTATCTGCAATGCAATCTAAGCTACAAAGATGCTACTGAGAAAACAAAATATTTAATCCTCTGCTTTTAACTTTTGTGAGTTAAGGGATTGTTTGTGATTGCTTGGTGTTTTGAAATGTAGGACAAAGCACAGCACTTTGACAGGTAGAAAGCAAAGACACTGTACTGTACATTTTCAGGACCACAGTCAGCACAGTGGTCACAGAACGTCTCCAGACTATTCCACATCACTAGAACTAAACTTGATTACCTTGGTCTTGGTCACACCTTTAGAATTTCTAAAATGACAGCAGCTAATGTTAAAACCATACTGTAAAAGTATAACATAATAAAATGATATAAAGCCACCTGACTCAAAATGATTACACTATATAGTAATTTAGTAAATCTTAAGTGCAGTTTAAACATAATCTAAGATTTCATCTACAAGTTTCTTTAAGATGTTTGGACCTCAGCCTTGTGGCTGGAAATCATGACCTTCACATCAGTCATTCACATTATTAAAATACTTGGTCGTGAGTGGTCCCTTTTCAGCATCTGTACTGATAAAGTGTTATTCTATTTCTTCGTTTTTTTTTTTAACGCCAGGACAGGAGGAGTGCTTGTAAAATACAGTTTTAGATGGCATGTTATGCATTTAGAGTAAATCTATCCTATACTCTAGTGAAAATAAAATAGATTCCAAATGTTTGACCATCTTGTGATCTACATGAATCATTTGGGTTTAAATGGTCTTCCCTGGAAAAACCAAATATTTTAGATATAAAATATTTATAGTTGGTCAGAGTATGAGTCTCTTGCTTTGACTAAGAAAAGTGACTTGCCTTAAATATTCCTTGAAACCATAATGAGACTATTGGGATGTGACTGCCATGGCTACTAATTGTCATCTATTTGTCTTTTACTTAGATACATGGCCATCATCCATCCTCTGAAGCCAAGACTGTCGGCGACCGCGACTAAGGTGGTTATAGTGAGCATCTGGATATTAGCATTTGTGTTGGCCTTTCCAGTCTGCTTTTACTCCAAAACCAGGCTCTTCCCAGGGAGAACTCTATGCTACATTCACTGGCCAAGAAACAAGGATTCCTCCATGTAAGCCTCTTATTCTTTTCCTAAGTTTAAAACTGCTTTTCTTTGTAAAAGTGTTTGTTGCATTCAGAATTCAGATTTATATTCATTAATTGAGTCAAATTTCTCTTTTAAAGGAAACATTTTCTACAAGCATAATGTGCCCATATTAGGAAGCTAGAAAGATGCAGCCTTTCTCCTTGTTTTGTTATTACCTCAGAAATCATAAATGTACAGAGATGCCTGGAAATTAGTCACCATATATCATCATTACCATCATAATTTTCATCCAATGTCAATTCAGTTTCATATGAAGACTTCCCGACATTTTCTTCACAAATGTATTTTTAGTAGCTGCTTGATCTGGCAAATTACCGATTTCATCTTTCCATCTTCCAGGGGTCTTTATTTTAATCAGTTTTGTTTGTCTCTTGGGATCTTACTTCACATTTCCTTTGTCCAGTGATGTTCAGTTGTTCTTGTTATCTGTCTGGCCCATTGTAGTCCCTTCATCTTGGCCCATTCTTAGTCCCTTAAGAATTTTGTTTACAAGCTTGTAGGAATGGCACATGATGAAATATACAAACATTTATTAATTTAGCCTTTATAATCTGGGCCAGCACTAATATGCTTTTCTACGCTTCAGACATTTTTGTATGTCTTAATAGAAAGTGTATACCAAACAGAATGAAGCAATCATTAACTTAAGAATCCAAATGCTAATAAGAAAATGGATGGGGTCATCTTATTATGTACAGTTTTGTAATATAATTCTCTGTACCCCTTCAATCAAAAGGAACATACAAAATAAGTTCTAAATTTTCTAATACATATTGTAGCTGGAAAAATCTAAATTAACTCTATAAACGTATTGAAAAATGGCAATAGTAGACCTGTATATGTTTTTACAATATTCAAAAGTTATAAATTCAGTAAGACTGCAGCTGCACTAGGACCCTGTGGAGGAATGAAGAGTGTCAATACTGTAAGTGATGAAAGACACCCTGATATCTTTCACATCAGGACTAGGCAAGAGAAGTGAGAAACAATTTGGAGGAGAGATATATTCATTGTCTGAAAATGTGTATCAGCAATGATATAAAGCTAGCTGTTGTTTTATTTTTGTTGTTGTTGCATAGGTATCATATCATTCTGACTGTGCTGGTCTATCTCCTGCCCCTGGGTGTAATGGGAATTACCTACACCATAGTAGGCATTACCCTGTGGGGAGGGGAGATCCCAGGAGACACCTCTGACAATTACCATGAACAACTCAGAGCCAAGAGAAAGGTAAGGAGTGAATATTATACAGTATCGTCTACCATCACAGTAGGGATTGGAACATATGGTGAGCATTTCTTTCTACTAAAGGAATAAAGAATGAAAACATGGGAATCCATGCATGAGGATAGAACCTTACATAGGACACAAAAGGCAAACAACCCCTGATTTTGGCTAATAAATCTCAGAGTAAGACATGCCAGCAGCTATATCACACTGCAACTCACAGCTGACAACCCACTGAAGCTAATCAGGTGTGAGCATAGTCGGTACCTGGGTGGGAAACCTACTGGGAAAAACTAAGGTTGTTAGTGGGGCCAGTAAGGGACTTTCTGTGGTTATTACAAATCCCAAAAAATCCTAAAAAAATATGGGTGTTACCCCGGCGTCCTGGTCAAATTTCCCATTGGCCTTTAACAATCATGGCCTCTTAATAATCCTCATCCAAGAATTGGCTTCATCGCTCTGTTCTCCTCCCCACTGATGTGTGGTGAGCAGACCGGCACACAGGTGGATGCTGCACATTGGTGGTGGTGTAATGGAGTCCCCATTACCTGTATAGCCCTGTAAGAGTAGTGTCCAGAAAAAGCGCCATATAAGTGTAAGGAATTATTATTATTTCCTACTTGAACTTGGATTATAAATGTCTGATGCTTCTGAATAACTATTTATACACAGTAAAAACTCACTTGAGTAGAAGAAAATGTCTAATAAGAACTTTTTGAAGTTCACCATGTGTAAGCATGCCCAGATTTCAATGAAAACAGCACTAAAGTGTTGAACTCATTACAGAAGCATCATGCCCTGCAAACATTATTAACATGAATCTTTATCTGTGGTTGTTAACCTCTTTTAAAAAAACTCAATTTTTTAAATAGTTATACAGTATTACTGTATAAATAATAATATACTGTAGCTAAAAACTACTAAGAGAACCATACTGATAAATACTGGATGTAAACAATAACATAACATTTTAAAAATAAATGTATTTAAATTTATATTCAAACAATAGCCACATCTCTCAAATACTGTAAGTCACTTTACAGAAATAAGTTTATTTATGGTATAGAATTAAATTATACAGAATATTTGGGACACAAATACAGTATGCACAGAAGTGACAGTAGGCTTTTTCATCTTTTAGTAAATGCATGTATTGATTTTATGTATTCCCAGTTGTATTTCAAGAAAACAACCTTTTCGCTTTTTCTGTTTTTGACTCATTTGATGTAATATTTTTTCAATTTAATATTTTCCACATAAATTAGCTGCAGAACGGAAATTCATTGAAAACACTATTAAGTGGCCCTATGATATAACTGGAAATCAGGATATAATGTACTGTATCAGGAAATTATTAAAACAATCTAGTCTCTATGAAGTTCAAGTAGGTAGCTGCGTCAGTATGTGTAGGCTGCAAAGGAACAAGTAAAGGTCTTTTCCATACTGAAAGCCTTCTTCAGGTGCCCTTCTACACGTCATGTGTCTTTTCGACATGGAATAGATTTTTACCTGTTCTTTTCTAGTCTCCATTTGTGTCAGTCTTATTGCACACTGATACTAGTAATAAAATTGCTGTAACCCTGTTAACATATTACTTCTTTGGGAGTATTTGGGCCATGTGTGTAAAATAATATTTTTATTTTACATTGATGATTTAGAATGATAATTGTTTTTCGTGCTGTGCTCTGCATGTTAAGACATACAGTATATACACAGTAAAACAACATACTGTACGTGTGCCACATGCAAAATAAAAAATCAGTGAATGAGTCAATGAATCAATGAGAATAAAAAATCAGTGAGTGATTCTTTCACTGAATGAGGGAAACCTTCAATGAGAATAAAAAATCTCATTTTTTGAATGAGGCTCAAATAGTCATTCTATTCTGTTTTGTTAACGAGTGCATACTGCAGTATGTTTTGTCTACTACTACTTCTTCTACTACTACTACTACTAATAATACCTATAGTGTATAAAATAAAAAAAGGTACTTAATTGTCCCATACAAATAATCATTATCTGATCGTTATCTGCACTATCAGTGTCTCTACTACCAGCACTATACTGTATATGCTGTATAGTATGAACTTTCTGTCAATTGAAAAACATTTCATCCAGAAATATAATAACTATTTTCCTACTAGTACACGCAATAACAGAATGGTACTTTTACCATTATTGTAAAAGTGCCCATTTTGAATGAGTGCACATGTCTGCAGAGGTACTTTATGTTATCAGCTGCGACAAAAACTCTTGGGAACCCAGACTTTTGACAAAGCTACTGCCTACTTAAGAATTGCTCTTGCAGCTCATGGATTAGAGAGACATGCGTTTTCCTTCATGTTTCACTGATGCTTCAATATAAACTGCATTATAACTTAAATCGACTGTGGCAGCAATACCCCCCTGGAAAGAACCAGTAGAAAAAAGATAAACGTAAAATCAATTTTAGTGCAACACTCAGTACCTACATCTCCTCCAGCACCTGTCTATAGTAGTCCATGGCAGATATTGTTCACAGGTAGCATATATAGTACATTCACTGCAAAGGAACAAGTACAGTAAAAGGTTTATTCAATGCTTCTTCGTGTGTGTGACAGCTCCACAACTCTTCGGCTCCACAGGCGAAACGTTGTGTTTTCTTTCTTCTCTTTTCAGCATGGAACAAACCTATTACTTGTTCCTTTGCAGCCTACGCATGCTGACGCAGCTACAGTACCCACCTGAACATATACTGTACATTCACAGTCTCTAATACTTTAATAAAAGTGACTCTGGTTAAGTACAGTACAGTACATGCACATTTTCTATGTAAACAAATGAATCACAGAACAATTACATATTTTGTTGATAATAAATATATATGTTAGCTATTAACATTTTTGTATATTAATAGAAATTTGCATACACACTCTCAATCCACTCAACATGTCACACATTCTTTCCTTTTGTTACGTGTTTTCTATTAAAAGTTTTCTTTTAAAATTATTTGTCACAAAATCAGACAAAACCATCAAGGTACCGTACAGTTCAGTTGATAGCTTTTTAATAAATGGATATACTGAAAATTTAGGTACAATTTAACTTGGATGCTGAAGTACTGTTTTTTTTTTTATCTGAATGAGTTAACATTTTTGTAAAAATGTTTAAGGATCTGTGTTCCTCATTAAATTTCTCAGCAAGCATGGGATCAGAAGGAGGTCATTCTTCCCAGTTGCTCCCTATAGTGTTCTGTACTTTGGCCAGTGGTCACAAGATGCATGAAAACCCCTAAACCTTGCTGCATGACTGCGAACAGGGATCAGTGTCAGCAGGGTTCAAGACTGCACGCTCTGCTGTTCAAACTTTGTTTTTCTTCCTCTTCTCACCGCCCTCTTGTCAGCATTGAAATATTTTTCTGCAGGCAGATATCAGCATGAGATATTTGACAGTTGTCCGACATTAACAGGTGGCAGTTGAATTCAAGCTGAAATTCAACGCTTTGTACCAGGCTGTTCAAGAGATAAAATTCGAACCACTTTAGTTTTTTTTACTGTGCTCAGAGCTTACCACCTTCTAAAATGTGGCTGTAAGCCCTAAAATGTCCTTGGCATAATAAACAATGTCAATGTGCAAGTAATTCTGCATATAATTATCACCCAGACGTACAGAGGATTGAAGGAAGAGAGGACTTCATATCAGAAATATTAACAACCTGCAGGGATCAGAAGGTTGTTAGACTGGTAACAGTAACTGTTCAGTAACTGGACTCTCCCACAGAGACTTCATTTGAATTTTGAGTTTGAATTTTTTAATCATCTGAAACCAAGCCCCCAGTTGTAAGAAAGTCATATTACACAAGCATATAATTATTTAAAGACTATGGTAAATATTTGTATTAGACCTTTTAAACACAGAACAAAATAAAAGAATAAGAGAAAAAATAAACACTTGATAAAAACCTTGTAACAACTTCAGGATACCTGTCCAATGGCTTCTGCTAATGCCTGTAACCATTTTGTGATGGTCTGTGATGTTAATGTTGAACACAATGATCATGATGGTCAATCTATTACATGACCAAAATCATTCCTGTATACTATAGTACTGGCAGTGTGGGGGCAGCCATTGCACTAGTATTAGAAAGTGGACTGTTCATGAGATATTATCAACATAGTTTTGGATAATAAGACTGTTAAGATGTTATCAGAGTATAACATTAATTGCACCCAACAACATCACTCCTTAAAATTAAACCTTGATTCATCAGAGAAACCAGATATCCTAAAACAGACATTGAAATAACCTTCAGCAAACTTGCAACTGCAACATTCCTGCCTTTACTACCTTAAGTGCCTCCTCACTGCCCAAAATTATCAGTCATGGCATCTTGGAGATGAAAAGTAGAATTGAAAAATAGTGTTTATTAGGGGATTGAGGGGTACACAATGCATTATCTAGGGGAGGGACATTCCAAAAAATTAATACATTGTTGCACAGTTGTCTCCGGCTCCAAAACAAGTTCACAAAGGCTTTTTCCTCACAGCAGAGTTGTGCTTAAATATGTTTTTTATTTAGATTAGCTACAGAAGTGGACTAAGGATTATTATGTGATGACCAATATGATGCCATTGTGCTTTAAAAATAAATTGGTCTAAATCGTTTTCTGGAATCTCTTTTAGATTTTGTCAAATTTTATCATTTTTTATCGAATTTTATTTCAGATGTTTTCCAAGTTCGGTCAGCTTTTCTCTGTTCTAAAAAATGACAGGGTATAATCATTATAATGTCACTTACTACTGTATAACTATCTAATCAAGTGTGAGTTCTTTTTGCTGGACTCCAAATCAAATTTTCATTTCAGAAACAGTTCTCTCTATGAGAACACAGCACAGGAAACTGTCAAATATGTACAGTATAAAACAATATACAAATTACCTTACATTTATATACACTATACTTTTTTTCTGTATGAATCTTGAATTCTTACAGTAAGTACGATGCCTCCTTTTGAGTGTGTTTG